AAAACTTTCGAAAGTTTTCCCAACCTCACGGTTGACCCTGCTTATGACTATCTTCCGTTTGCATTGTGTCAACAGGTTGCTAACAGTTTTCGTTTTTTTTTTCTCGTGCTCGTGTGTATGCTGTCAGAATGAGGGCGCTCAGAATTATGGAAGGAAATATTTGCAGAAGCACGCTCTTCCAAGCAAAGAAGGAGATGCGGAAACATTACCTACCCTTGAATTCGATCCAAAGCTTAACGAAATTGTCGACATAGGCTCAGATATAGAGGTTCTGAAAGAAGTAAGTACTACTCCCTTTCCATGTTCGCATTTTCTAAAATTATGCCTTCTCGAAATTCCTGAATTGCAGGACAAAATTGACAGCGCTGAAGATGAAAAAGTACGTGGTTTTCCATAACATTCTCACACACTTCGTTATCTGTTCCGCGTTCATTGTGTGTCCGTAAAATCGAGGGGATCGGGCTGTCCAGACCTTCATCTTTCAAGGTTCGACCGATTGCTACTAGTAGTTTCTAGAAGGATAGACCGTCACTAAGATCAATTGAACCTTGCAAGTCAGAATAGTGGTCAGATATGTAGGTGCTCTTATGCGCTTCAATATAAATGGAAGTGGGATGCATTTCCTCCTGAACGCCAACATTTCAGCACTTTTATCCTTCGATATTTCGTTTTGACTCGTTCATGGGAGTCAACTAATAATGGTCCGTTTCCAAAAAGCTCTCTTAGGCAAGTAAAGGAAATGATGCAAAAGTAATCCACTGCGCCGTGACTAGAATAGCTGATTGCTGTAGCCGATAGCATGTGATAATAACAATTTGCTACAGTGTTCTCGAATGGGTGGCGCACATTCAATAAAACGATCAGTCTATCGGAGACAACCGAAAGCATCACAGCAGCGTAAACTAAAGTCGGCCAAACCAAGAATGGGCAAGGTATTTTTCTGTTTAGATTGAGACTTTTCCAAACCTTATTGGTTTTGCCTATGCTATTCAAATGTTTTGGATCCCAAAAAAGAGGAGAACAGACTCCATGGATCCAGGAGAAACCTTTCCACCGCCAGCATTTGTAACAGATGTCCGGCGGGGATTTGAGCGCGTAGCAGTCCTTCCTGTTTTCGAATTGTTTACCAAAACAAAAGCAAAAAGCTTTAGTCTGTTACTTAATATTATTACTTAATATTATAACTATGGTATGTGGTGTTTATGCTTGAGATACGGTTTATCTGAAGAAGGGCTTATGCTCAAAACGTTGCCAATAAATCTTGAAGAAAAAGAAGATCTTATCTCTACCTAAAATTACAAAACAAAAGCATTTTTCTGTTTATTTTTCATTCTTATCGTGAACGATGGGTCTCACGCCAGTGATTTATTAGTGAGATATTATCAAGATTTCTCGAGAAGGATTCCTTCAAGGGAATCATACAAGGCTGCCATGGGTTGGGATTACTGAGAGACGTGTACCGCTGTATGTGTTTTCAAACGTTCTCATATCTGCCTTTCGAGTCTGCTAAACGATTCTCTTAACAGAGTTATGAAGCAGAATAGCTTAGTTCTATTGCTCGCGGCTCACAAACGAGACGTCGGGATCAAATCTCTGTCGTGTTTCTCTTCAAGAAAATATATTGGGAAGCTATTGGATAGCTAGGGAGACCTCAAACAGTGTCTGTTCGTCAACGCTAGCCTGGAATTACCTGCACGAAGAAGTTGTAAGCAGTGGCTGACAAGTATAGCGACTGTTCCCGCGTGACAGGACATGGCGTTCAAATAGCGAGTGCAAGATGATTTCGCTTGAAACGATTGTGGTAATCGTGATAAGGGAGTGAAAATTTTCCAGAAGCAAATTTTTTTCCAAGTCTGAAATTATGATCTAACTTTGAAAAGTTGAGCAGTCAGCCATCATTTGTATACCTGTCAGTGAACCCTGGTCTTGAAATGGGATCAGTTTAAAGGAAACCCTAATCACGTTCTCAATAGTGTTGTCAGTTGAATTCACAACTGATTCACAACTGAGATGAAAATGACTTTCTTATGATGTCAACTTTTGGACACGTAGCGGACCATACATTTGCGTCGTTATCCACAAACACAACTTCACTGTTGCAATTCAGCCGCTTGACTTCGGTTTTCCTACCTTCAAACTTTTGACGACTGGGAGTGATTCCCATTGAAAATTTGAATTTACGTGATGAGTCATCGCTAGGACTGCTGATTGGAATTGGAGACACCCGTGAATACCTGTTGTTTTGAAGTGGGGTCAGAATTTCAGATTTTTCCTGTGACCCCTTATAGTTTGACTCGTTGACACGAATATCGCACTCTTCGGAGCAAAAATCCCTCGCGTTCGCCATGGGCGCTATGAGCAGTCGTACACAACCAAGTACATCAAATAATCTTGCTAAGGAAAGCAAAAGAGCTACATGTCAAGAAACCGGTTCCGCCCCTACACGTCTACGAGCCCTGCCTGCCACCAGCTGCCTCAACGCTGCTCATTCCATTTCCATCTCCAATGCCTTCTGTGCGCAACATTGCGAGGAGACGGCCTCCATGACGTCGTTGTGAGAGTCGTTTAGCAGATTTGGAAGGCAGGTTCCGAATAAGCATAAGGGACACACGGAAATGCACATCTCATCTCGAATGGCCATGGCAATCTAGAATCCTTTCCTTGTAAGCACTACGGAAATAGCAAACTATTATAGAATAACGTAATGTAAACCAAAGAGGTTATCTTCGAGAGATAATCTTTGACAATACAGTTGAAAAAAGTCAAGGGGCTTTGTTAAGTGCATTGCACTTGGGCTAACTAACAAGGATGATTTCGGTCAACTGACGTCGTTGTCGCGTATAGACGCGAGTTTGCACCGAAGAGTATGCCTCACATCAGTTTAGTGTGGAATCCCTCCTACTGAGTTTCCGGGAAAACGTAGCAAAGAGTGAAAAATTCACCTAGAACTTTCTTCTTAGCATAGTAGATATGCACTTGGGAAGCATGACAAAGTGCTTAAAGACACGGTAAGGTACGTTGCCACGAAGTCGTCTAGGCTTGAGCTCCACCCCTAGCTGAACCTTTGCTCTTGAATTGGTGATCTGGCGAATATAAGAGCAAATGAATCCATCAATTCCCAATTTCGGACACGCGCTCATTGCCCTTTCTGTGACTGCACAAAGCTGGGTCACATGGATTGCTGTGATTTGGGCTCTCACTATAAGGAATAATGGGTAATGCTCATTCAGTAACTAAGTTCACCCCACCAGAGCGAGACTTGATGAGGGATTCTGAATGTTTTCATATCGTTCCATGCACGTAAACCAGATGCGATTCAAAAATAAGTGCAGACTGCACACCGCAAGTGACAACGGCTCTGGGAAATGCATATGTTTTTTGCCAATGAAATGATTAGCCTGTTGCAGTTGTATTCTATCAGTTGTCACTAATTACAACTATCATTTACCAACTATCAGCTATCACTATGAATCACTAGTTACCAGATTTACTTGGAGGCCGTCGTCACTTGTGGTGTATGTTCTGCACTCGACGCGCTTCTGATTTTCCGAAAAGAGTAAGTGAACTTTCTCGATTTCTAATCATCCGAATTGCAGACAGCACGAGGAAAAACACCGAAAGCAAAAACACCGAAATAATAGGTTAATTACTGGAAATGACAATCCTTATTCGGAGAATATTGTATTCACATGATTCCATTATTAAGGTGTTACTACAATAAGAAATCAATCATTTCGGAATCATAAAGCATGGTATCGAAAATTCTCAATGATATTAGTCACTTTAACTAGGTTTGGAGTCGAAATACTACCGTTACCTTGAAAATGTCCTTCTGTGTTATGTTATCATTAATCGCTTTTAAATGGTGTCCCAATTTTATTGTACTTGGAAACGCAATAAACCTAACCATTGTACTCTTGGAGTCTAACTTTACTCATTAGGTCATGACATCCTCTCTATCGGAAGTGCATGTAGTCTTGAAAAGCTGCAGTTTAAATTTATACAACGGTCACCACATTCGGCCGACATATTGCTGCGGGGTCCCCTCCAAAATTGGGGGTTGACCAGTCTCCTTAAGACCTGAGTTAACCGCCCGTTGCGCAAAGATCAACGAGGGGATCGCACTTGGCCTATGAGAGGGGAGGGGTTGCAAGCTCTTGTACTGGTCACAAAATATGAAGGTGCTTCGGTCTGGTAAAGGAGGGCAGATTTCCAACTATTACTGAGACTACACATTACAGACGATTGATTGGCGCATCCTAGAGCAGGAGATCTTGGTGAACCACTTATATTCCAGTGACAGAACAGACAGTCTTCCAGAGATGCTTGCAGTCCAAATCAAGGTGGAGGAAAGTACAGCAAATAAGGGGATTGACTTCTAAATCCTAATTTAAAATTCTGGCAGAACAAAGGATTCCTCGGCAAAATCCACAAGACACGGCTAAACGTAGGATCCCAATGGGTGCCCACGACATCTCTGAAGGAAATGTGCGTGCGCTGGCAAATGCTCTGTAGACTGAAGTCCTTGCGCCTGCAGCGGGCCGTAGATCTGCCTTACTTGCCTGTGCTCAATGGGTACGAGCGAGTTGACGTGTGCCGTTGCCTTGTAGAGCAATGGATGTTGATTCGTCGAAGTGAACAAGATCCGAAAGCACACGAATGATCGACTAGGCGAAGATACATATTAGGCGAAGTGTGCGCGGTGTATATTGTATGTAAGGTTTGCTGTGAATGACCATATGTTCGCTACTTCATGTCATCTTAATAAACATATCAAAACGATTTCATCAATAAAGCATTACCGAATATGATTACATGCTGGAAAGATAGAATGCGTAGGACATATGTATTGTGTAAGACATATGAGATCAATAGGAAAGGAGAACTGCTATTGTGAGTGACTATGAAGACTAAACTAGAGCTACATAATGAATCGGAAGAAAACTATTATATTACTACTAAGGATGTAGGGTGCGAACTCCCTGGAGATAAACCAAGTTAAGAACTAAACGAAGAAAGGAAGGCAGGCTAACTAACGATAAGAGGATCCCGGCGAAGCGACTGAATTACAAGAAGAAGTTAGGCATATCTTCTAACAACCAAACGAATAGGAATAAAGCCGGCTGACTCATCACATCGGGATAATATCGTCAAGTAGGCGATGAAGGAGATCGAAAGATCGAAAAGGCGAAAAAGACGACTGAGCAGCAGGGTGAAAATCATGTTGATTACGTGGTCACATCAGTACGACTCCCCTCTAAGATCGGGGTCTTGATACGACCCCTCTAACTTTGATTTGATGTGAATAAGCGAGTTCCATCAATGTACAGCAAAGCATTCAGTTGCAGCGCGGTTTATCCGTGGGTCAGATTTGCCGAAACCCCGCTCGAAACCGTCGAAATCTACACTCTCGATGAAAAGGTTCCATTCCCCATTTCATAACCTTTGGAGCAGTATGTGGTAGGGTTAGATAGAGCTGGATTTGTTGCTATCAGGCAGTATTGAAATTGATCTAAAAGCTTTAGATGGTTTGTTTCGCTTCTTCTCAAATCTCTTAGATGAGGAGATATTTACGTAGAGGATTATCGAGGAGGATTTCGGCCACCTAAAAAGCCGCTCCCTTCTTCACCATTGCAAGTTAATTCTCGAAATGTCTAGAATAAATTCTCCCAACGTAAGCGACAAGAAAAGGGGCAATCGTCATCGTCCGATCTCGTCTCAGTATAGGCCATGCATCCGACCTCCACTCAAGTTGTAGAATCTATTGAAAGGTGTTATACATATGATGATGACCTGTTGACAGAAAGTGTAACACATTTCGTAACTCCTATAACCTAAGGAACAGCTTCATTTGTCCAAGGCCTTCTGAAACTATTGTCGTTTTTGCTACAGCGTCCCTAACAACAGTGCATTCTCAACGAGGTATTAAGGGAGAGGAGCGGGCGGCAGATAAAGGTGCCTTTGCAGCGCGTGTGCACATGTGGCCCGTTCCTTGCGGAGATGCACTTTCATTCTTTACTGCTTCAAATACGTCCTTCTCATGAAGGTAGACAATGCAGCGAATGAAGGTGCGAAGAGTATTTCAATTATGTTCCCTCATATATGCTCGCATCCGCACTACACGCTCTCACTCTTATCTGCACCACGATGCCACTGACGTTACTGACCCCCACGAGTACGACCCCCATGACCCACTCTGACAAATATGTACGACCAGCCGTCCGGGATTCCCTCGACCGATATCCATCCTGCTGAAAAGCATGCTGATGCGATGACGAATGACGGCAGAGTTGGCGTGATTTGAAGGCGGAATTTCCTGAGCCGCTCAAGATCAACGCTAGGTTTCAATGTGTTTTTTCGCCCTCCTCTTATCAGGGTTATCTAGGACCACCTTACTCAAGGTCGTGGCACTGCACACGGCACTACCATCTCTTCAGGGCGCTCCAAAATGACTTGTTCAAAGTCACAACGGCTATTCCGTTGACATTTGTTACCGATGAGCTTTTTGTCACCCACCAAACATGGCCCCTCAGAAGACAGCACCACTCTGCTGCTGAGGCGCGCTCTATGAATTCCACGACCCTTGCGTTCTAGCGCCCCTCATCAATGTTATCACTTTCTGCCACCCGCCAGATACATATGTTCTCCTATCCCTATCCCTACTATATATAAAGCGCTAAGTCTGTCTGTCTGTCTGTGTGTGTGTCACGAAATTCATAGCACGCGTCGCAGCAGTCGTTAGGAGCTTTTAAAATACTACTTGCCCTTAGATTGGCCCCGTAAAGAATTGTACAGGCCAAACCGCTTACAAATCTCTGACTGCTTAATTTCGAAGAGAAGTGAAATTCATGGCGCATTCCAGAGAGGGTCCGCGACCGCCAGATGCTTTTCTCGAACTGCTGTGCTGTTATTGCTTCCACGAATACGGCCAAAATATTTCAGCATGAAATTTATTTACAGTCGTCTTTTTCAACATGTCATAAAAATGACGACAAGAGAAAATACGGTTGGCAAAACTAAAATTGAATCCAACACGGAAACCGAGCCAACTGCTGGCTAGAAAAGAGGATAAAAACAAATCAGGTGCAATGTATTTGAAAAAAGTCGTCTACTCGTCGCCCATTGAACTTCGCTCCAATTCGGGTACAGGAACGGCGCCTACCCTGCAATCCTCATCAGGCCACTTCCATTCCTTATTAATCAGGTCCTCGTAATTTGTGTCGTATATTTGATGGCGCACGTACAGTTCCTAAGAGTGGTCTTAAGTTTATCAAAACTTCCATGAAGGAAGCATTTCTCACCATATCTTCTGGTTTTGGATAGAGTGTTGCTAGATCTTCTTTGTAGAAGAACTCGCCTACCTAAACATGATTATTTCGCTCTATAACATCCTTAGGGCATTGAAATGCCAGCCCGTAAGAGAGTCCTCAACAGAA